GCAAGACGTGCAGCAGCATCGCGGGTGGCCCACTGTGAGCGAACAGTAGCGTTAGTATCAGGAGCAGGGGCAGGAGAGGCACCGGAGGTGAGGTCAAAGAGAGAGAGTCCGTCTGCCCTATCGCACTGCAAGAAAAGCTGCAGGTCATCTATCCAGACGTCAAAGTCAATGGCCCGACCCTCAGCGTCAAAAGCGAGGACACTAGGGGTAGCAATGACAGTAGTAGACCAGCAGCGCAAACAGTAGGGTAAGGGCAGTGCTGAGAAAGAGGCGCTGCTCTTACCAGACAGGGCGGCTCGGGCGGCTCGGCGGCGCGGGCGGCTCGGCTGTTGGGCGGCTCGGCTGCTGGGCGGCCTGGCTGCTGGGTGGCTCGGCTGCTCGGCGGCTCGGCTGCTGGGCGGCTCGGCTACTGGGCGGCTGCTGGGTGGCGGGCGGCGCTGCAGCAGGCGATGGGCTAGCAGGTAAGGGCGGCGGGGCCGCAGGTAAGGTGGCGGGGCCGAAGGAGGCCTAGGACGGGCGCGACGGTAGAGAGGGCACACGAGGCGCGACTCGGGCCTAAGCGAAGCGCGCTCCGGGCAGGAAATTTTTTTTTGACTTGGTGGGCCCTAGGAACAGTTCCCACGAGGGAACCTGCTCGATACCATGAGAAGAAACGAGAATGGATGAACTATGAATGAATTGGGTACAAGTACTAACCCTAATTGGGTTGTACCCCTTATGGGCTACCCCACTATAGCCTACACAATATGCATGAGCTATAATGTTCTGACACGTACTCCTCTCCGTCAGTCATGGTGACCTCCGTGTCTCCATTGGCAATAGTATTTATGTACGCTCCCTTTTTCAGCAGCTGACAATAAGAGAGCAGATTGATCTTTAGGCCGGGTACGTAAAGGACTTCAGTGTAGCGAATTGTTGTCCCATCAGGTGCATTTGCTGTGATCGTTCCCGTCATCATGCCGTCCAGTTGGCTCCCATCAGCAAGCTCCACATACACAGGTTCGTCGAGCTCGTGTAACTCCTCAAACCAGCAGGTATCCGAAGTCATGTGCTGGCTACATCCATTGTCCAGCATCCACAGTGACGCTCCAGCTGGTGGTAAGTCAACTTGTGACGATCGCACCGCCGCTATGCATGTGATGGTGCGTTGCTTGTCTTCCCCAGCTGCCCCTTGATGTTTTGACGCATCGTTGTCAAACTTGGGGCTGCCACTCCTTCGTGGGGAGAATGAACGACTGTTGCCGGTATGCATTCCTGTCCTCCCACTGGTATGCGGTTTCCACCCTGGTGGTGACCAGCCAGGTGGTGCCTTGGTACACTTGAAGAAGGGATGGCCTAGCTCCTTGCAGTACCAACACACGGGAGATGAGCGACTTGCATCTCCATCCTTGCCATGCATTTTCTCCCCAATGGACCCCTCCTTCCCGGTTTTGCCCTTAGCAGTTGGAGAAGGTGAGTGGTCTCCACGTGCTTGTCCAGCCATGCGAGGTGGACGCCGATCACGGTCATCCTTCGTGATGAGGTCGTGATATCTCTGCTCCTGAATCATCATCAGCTGCAAGTTGAAGCTATCCGTCACGTTGTGTAGCATTGCCGAGTGCCTCATCTCCTCCCATTGTGCCGGCAGCCCGGTGAGCAGATTCAAGGTAAATGTGTCCTCATCCACCATCTTCCCCGCGAGTGCTAACTTGTCTCGGACTGCTGTTGCGCGGTTCACGTACTCTTCCACCCTCTCTTGACTCCCCATTTTCAGGTTGTCCAACTGATTAAGAGAGAGACCTTCACCACCGAATCTTTGGTCTGGTACGTATCCATTAAGTATTCCCATGCTTCATATGCCGGGCTATAGGATTCCTGGAACATGTCCAGCTGCAGCTGAATCATGGCGCTCACGCTGTGCAGCAGGACCCAAAAGGCGAGTGCCGCACGCTGTGAGTAATCCGCCTGTAGCATTTCCAGCCGCTCCATAGCGTCGTTAATGTCACCATTACCCATGCTAACCGGATACTGCAGGGTCACAAAGAACTCCCACAAATTCGTGACGCGAGCGTTTATACGAAACCGTAGCGCCCACTCCCGGAAGTTCGAGCCATCAAACGGAGTAGTGGTGAACGCTTTGTCCACCGTTGCTCCCACCATTTTGCGTGACAGTCATTCCTTGTCATCTTCCGTGTATACACGTGGAGCGGGGTCGAAGAGAGTAGGCACAATTGACGGTCGAGGTAGCGGTACCGTGCGCTGCATGTTTCCATTCTGTCCACCAAGTTGACGTTCCAGCACTTCCACTTGATCACGTCGCATAACACCACTTGACTGCATTCCGTATCCCCTCCGCCCCATGCTGTCCACAGAATGTACTCCAATCGGTGCACGAGGTGCACGTGGAGGTATGACATTGCTGCCACAAAGGTGAGTCCCTGCCATGGGAGGAACTCCAATGGGATGGGAGTGTATTGCAAGTCGTCGTAGTGGGGGAGCACCAATAGTGTAGGAGGCGAATCCCACACCTTCCACGCCCACTTGTCCATTTCCGTCAGCCTGCTGCCCAATCTGTCCACTTCACATTCCACCATGCTCCATTGCATCCACTTCACTCCCGTACTCATCATTCCTCCCCCGTGCTTCCCTTTGCATGGATGATTGAGGTGCGGGATTGGCGCTCCCCTCTCCTTGGACGGATGCATTCCTCTCTTGGGATGACTCTCCTTCTTCAGGTATGCCCATTTCCCCTTCACCATCAATTCCTGCATGAACATTTGCACGAGTTTGGCTAGTAGGTGGAGTGCTTGAATGAGAGTGTTAACGGGTTGACGGATTGTTGGACTCACGAGAGAGCGTTGTCCTTGGCTGGATTGTCATTCCAAACTTGTCCCTTGCAATCATGCTTTCCAGGTGCTCATGCTGAGCCATGGTGGCATCTTCAAAAGCTGCATATCCAGGATCCACTTCGCCATCGAAGTGCGCCATGACCTTGATCAAACCGTCCACCAAGTGTGCGCTAAACGCGCGGTTGTGCTCAGCAGCAAACACTAAGCGTACGAAAGCGTAGACCGGGTGTGCGGTACTCTGACTGTATGCAGGTACCTATCCGAAGTGAATGCCAGTGAATTCCTAAACCATTTTTGGCAGCATGCCCCATAGAGTAGTTCTGATGCCATGCTAGAAAGGCATAGTGTCAGCGTAGCGAAAACGTGTTTGTAGAAAAGAACAAGATAGAAATCTTGCATTTATCATTGAAAAGTAGAATGATGATACAATGATGACTCAATGATGATGAAGAAGTGACACAGCATGGTATATATGCATCCAGCTACCCCTCCAGAATGACTCCATTCACACCAATAATGGTGTACCAATAATTGTACCCTCTATCCTCCAATAATGCGGACCTCCAATAATTCTGGCCCTACAATAATTGTGACAATTATTGTAGGACCTGGAGGCTTATAAAGGTGACTACACTAAAACCGAACAGCATACTGGTATACAGTATTCGTTATACTGTATAATTTCCAACAATGTTGACTGGCACTCCTACAAGAGGCTGCAATTAGATATGGATCAGATTTCAAATTGTGATGGCTGTTGAACAGATCAAAGTGCAATTTGATCAAAAGTGCTATTGATGTCATCGGGATGCTTTGTACCACATTTTCAATCATTATTTATCGAACGCAACACATCCGGAATTAGAGAGCATTTTTTTTTTTGCGTGTGGATATGTTGAATCTCGGGAATGATTATTACATAAGCATACACAATGAACTTGAGAGCATAAACTTTTTGAAAACCTGAACCTATTTCTCTTGCAGGTTGTGCTATAAGGGGTATGACACCTAGGGTTTTGTGAGCAGCTGGATCTCACATCTCGCCATCCCTATCCCACTCAGCTCGCTACTTCCTTCCAAGACAGCCTTCCCTCGCTGTACTAGTTCGCTAAAGGCCGCTGTCAGGTTGTAGATTTGCTGCTGGATTAGATGTTGAACATCCAGCCAGGCGTAACACGAATAGCATGGCTTCTGTCGCTTCCATCAGCCAAGCTCGTCTCCCCTAGTCAGCAGAACGACCTGGTATGAGAAAACTCGCCACGAGTATCGTGAGTGGATCCACGTCGAAGGTGTGCCAAGTGCGGTTCAGGTCGATGATGTCGGTGTAATCACGTGCATGCACTGTAATGTCGGTGTGAGCTCTTTCTACCCTCTGACTGCACCTCAGCCGCTCGTTTTCCTCCTCCGCCAGCCCATTTAGCGTCATACACGTGAATGCGCTGGCAATGGGATATTCGTCAAGATAAATTAAAACCGTTGTTTCAATTCCTGAATGAGCTCATCGCTTTGTGGCCGTTGATAAGGCCGATCCACGCTAGATCAACTATTGGTAGTTGTTTTATCGATCCTAGAGCTCCGACGACCACGGATTGAGCCTGAAAAGGCCCCCAGATTGGCGGGCCCTGAAGCTGGCTCATGTTAGCGCGGTCCCGAAGCTGGCTCCCTTGTTGGCAGACTCCCGAAGCTGGCTCAAATGTCCGGGATCCAGAAGCTGGCTCCCATGTTGCCGGGATCCCGAAGCTGGCTCCAATGTTGCCGGGATCCCGAAGCTGGCTCCAATGTTGCCGGGATCCCGAAGCTGGCTCCAATGTTGTCCGGATCCCGAGGCTGGGTCCCATTTTGGCGAGATCCCTAAGCTGGCTCTCAGATTAGCGCGGTCCCGAAGCTGGCTCCCATGTTGGCGGGATCCCGAAGCTTGAGCCACACCAGTCCGAATCGCGCTGCCCGGCTGTGCGGCCTACAAACGGTGAGGAGGCAACGGACACTCTCTTCCTCGGCTCGTTGTGAGTATACAAGTGACAAAGTGTGACTAATCTTCTTCAATCACACCTCTTTTTCTCAGGTTTTCTAGAGTCACATCCCGTACGATCAATCCACCTGCTGCTCGAGGTCTTCGTTGGAAACCGTGTTGAAACTTCTTTCTGGATTGCTCCAGCTCCCACTTAACATCCGATGGCTTTCATTCACCCGGAATCCACCCTTGCTGTGGCTGTTGTTGTTGCTGCTGCCGCTTGCTTTGACAACGCTGTAAAATATATCTGGGAGGTTCCTAGCTGGTTGGCCTGCTCGCCAGCAAGCTCCACTCCCATTGAGTGGCTGACTGAATGGACGGATGTGGATGAAATAGAGTTGAGAAGCAGCTCTGTCAAGAGCAACTCAACTCGGACTGATGAAGATGAGCTGCTGCCGATGCTGCTGCTGGCGGATTACAATCTGGTGGACCCTAGTGAGTTTATAACTGAATGGGCGGCTGAGGATGAGGCATACCTGAGAAATGGTGCTCTCAGCCGTCGTGTCAGTGAGGATGACTGCGAGTGGCTGGCTGAGAATGCGCAGGTTGATCCTGCTGAATTTATCACAGTGTGGACAGCTGCTGATGAGGCGTACCTGCGGTCTGGTGTTCACACCCTTGGTGACAGTGAGAGTGACTGCGAATGGCTGGCAGAAAACTCGCAGGTGGACCCCTCTGAATTCATCACCGAGTGGACGGACGCTGATGAAGCCTACCTGAGAGACACGACTGTCAGGTGCTTCTCAGCACCGAGTGAGGGTGACAGGCTGCTGCTGTCGCCAAAGCTGAAGCCCCTGACATCAGCTGCTGTGGCGTACAGGGTTGGTAGGTTTGCTGAAGTGAGCAGCAAGTGGGAATCTCGTGCTCCTTCAGGCTTTTCACGGTTGAGACCTGCTGTGGCCCGGGCTGCTGCTGCAGCTATGGGTGCTGTTGTTTCTGCTGTGGGTTCAGCTGCTGATGCTGTGGTTGCTGCTGCTGACGCTGTGAGTGCCGCTGCTGCCACGGCTGCTGCTGCTGCTATTTCTGCAACATCTGCAGCTACTTCCAAGCCAGCAGCAAAGGCTGCAGCTTCCAAGCCAGCAGCAAAGGCCGCAGCTTCCAAGCCAGCAGCAAAGGCTGCAGCTCCCAAGCCTGCAGCCAAGGCTGCAGCTCCCAAGCCTGCAGCCAAGGCTGCAGCTCCCAAGCCTGCAGCCAAGGCTGCAGCTCCCAAGCCTGCAGCCAAGGCTGCAGCTCCCAAGCCTACAGCCAAGGCTGCAGCTCCCAAGCCTGCAGCCAAGGCTGCAGCTCCCAAGCCTGCAGCCAAGGCTGCAGCTCCCAAGCCTGCGGTCAAGGTTGCAGCTCCCAAGCCTGCAGCCAAAGCTGCAGCTCCTAAGCCTGCAGTGAAACCAGCAGCAGTTCCTGCCGCGGCCACTGCCTGTGCTGCTCGTGTGGCGCCTCTGAGGCAAGCAGTGCAGAAGGGGTCGCAGGGAAGAACAAGGAGGTCAAGTGGGTAAATATGTCAGGCTGCACAAACAGCCTCACAGAAACAATTATCTCAGATTCCTAGGTGGAAATGGAGATGTGCTCAATCTATTGTTGCACAATTGTGTACATATTCATGTATAGTGTATGTTTAAACCGAAATCTGGGTTTTTGATATTGGCTGCTTGCTGCTGCATGAATCAGCTATACAAATATGTAATAGGAAGTCGTTGATTATGCGTGGTCCACATGCACATGCATTAAGAGCGTGTTCCTATGGGCCCCTATCAGGCTGACCTCTGATCAGACTTGGTGCTTCGAGCGATTTCTTTATAAACACATATTTCAGACCTGAACATAAACCAGTGCTGCGCAAGCGCGACAAATTGGTCTCGCGAACCTTTCACATGTGAGTGCTGTTTCTGCGAACTAGTGTCAGGAAATGGTTGAAACACTGTTTCGGCGAAAGGACACTGATTTGTCGGGTATGAAGCATACAAGCCCCCAAACGCACGTTTCAATCACCTGTGATTTGTCAGGACTCGCAATTGTTCCTCTGCAACTTTGTGGGAGCGTTGCGCAGTGCCACGTCACCCACGCGTTTTGCAGAGCACTTCACCAAACAGCAAAAGACGTGAATTAAAAAGCCTGTTCAATCCGAAATTGTAGTGATTTACTCTAGTCTGACAAGAGGCCAGTCTGAGTAGAGGCCGTAGGAACATGCTCTAAGTCACTTTCTGGGTTGCTGGTTAAAGGTTCACATCCACATGCGTATGCTGTGTTGCTCTGAGAGTTGCACCTCGAGACTCACACACTACTTGTATTTCCGTGTGCCTATCACTGCAAAGTGCTGAGGGCTTCAAATGCCGTACTTTAGTTCCCATTTCCCTTGCATCTTACCCTTCCCTCTTTCCACATACAAAGAATCAGTCATCTAATGCCCATGTTTCCTGCAGCAGGGATAGGGTTTCCCCATTTTTTCATAAATAAGGCATATGGTTCCCATGTTCCCTGCAGCAGGGATAAGCAATATTTCTCATGCACCTGTCCCATTTCCCATGCACCTGTCCCATTTCCCATGCATCAGTCCCAATTCCCATGCATCAGTCCCATTTCCCATGCATCAGGCATCTCACTCCCATTTCCCATGCATCAGGCATCTCACTCCCATTTCCCATGCATCAGGCATCTCATTCACATTTTCCATGGATACCTCATCTGAATCCCACTTCTCAGGCATGCAAAGGACATATGAGCTTCAACTCCCATCCATCAAGATTCTAATCGTAAAACCCAGTTCATTGGTCATCTGAATCTCGCTTCCTAGTGCTCTCTCCACAGGCAACTGATCATCATTCTTCATGCATAAGGCATTGCTTCCCTTTCCCATGCAGACCAGGCTTTTCGTTTGGTTTTCATTTCTGATGCATAGTGTGTCAACTTACTCACATATCCCCTCCATCAGGCATCTGATTCTTATCTTCTATGACAAATCCATTTTATTTCCCCTCAAGTGTCTCATTCTTGTTGTCCGTGTATCAAGCAGCTGATTCCCACATTCCATGCATGCATGCACGCAGTAGCTGATCTTCATTTCCCATGCATCAGGCATCTGATTTCATGCATCATGTATCGAATTCCCAGTTTCCATGTAACAGGTGTCTGATCCCCATTCCATAGACATCAAGCATGTGATTCCTGCCCGGTTCCCATGCGCACGGATTCCAAATTCCTATTCTTGCCATCACATGAAGCATCAGATTCCAATTTACCATGCAAAGGGCATCTGGTTTCCATTTTCCATGCGCCAGGCTTCTGGTGTGCATTCCATATCGCATCTCATTCACGCACCTGATTTCAATTTTCCATATGGCATATGCATCACGCATCTCATTCATATTTCAAATGCATCAGGCATTTTACCTCGAATTCCATGCACTGTGCTTCTGATTCCCATTGCCCATGAATCAGCCATTCGATTCCCATTCCCAATGAAGCTTACACGTTTCATTGTATGAGGCCACATCCGCCTCCCCCCATGTCTTAAGACGCTAGGTCGACCAGGTGGTAAAGCAGCAAGTGGATTCAGATCACTTCTGGGTTACTGGTTATAAGTTCACATCCACATGCATATCTTGTGTTACTTTCTTGAGAGTTGCGCGTCGAGAATAGCACGCTACTTGTGTTTCCATTCCATGTGCTTATCACTGTAGGGAGGCATCTGGTCATCATTCTTGATGCATGCATCAGGCACCTGCTTCCCACTTCCAATGCAGTAAGCATCTGATTCTCATTTGCGATGCATCCAGCATGTAGTTTCCATTTTTCATGCATAGGGCGTCTGACTGACTCCCATTTCCCCTCCATCAGGCATCTGATTCTCATCCCCCATGTTTTTCATTTTGTACCCCAGGTATCTCACGCCCATTATCTGTGCAAGGCATCTGATTCTCGTATCTCATGCATGCATGGGGCACCTGATTTTTGTTTTCCATGCATCACACATCCCATTCCATGCATCGGGGATTGGATTCTCAGTGCCCATGTCAAAGGTGTTTGATCCCAATTCCCTCAGCATCAAGCCTGTGATTTCCGTTTCCCATGCACGAGGCATGTGGTCCCAAAAGCCTATTCATGAAGCATTTGAATCCCAATTACCATGCCGAGGCACCCGCTCTCCATCTCTCATGCGTCTAACGTATGATTCCCATTCCCTATGCATCAGGCATCTCATTCATGTATCGAGTGCATCACACATTCCTTTTCCCATCGACTGCGCTTCTGATTCCCATCTCTCATGACTCAGCGATTCGATTCCCATTGCCCGTCAACCTTACCCATTCCACTGTCTGAGGTCAGATGCCCTCATACCTTTGTCACGTGACTCCATGACCCATGATGTCCCATCACCTATAGCTCATGACCCATAGCCTTGACATCTCTTACTGCCCACTCTGGGCCGCCCCATAGTTGGTGCAGCAGGTGGCTTCAGAGGGGAGTGGCTTTGGCAATGGTGAGGGTGAGGGAGGATGTGGAGGAGAAGGTCAGATGAGATCTGGTCGAAGAGTTGACACGCTCAAGCTCAGCGCTCGGTCGCTATAGCATGGCGAGGTGAGATGAGTGTTGGGTATGAGGTATGGAGACGAGACGTTCTGTTATGACAGGGCAGGGCAAGCTTCTGGTTCGCATTCCCCATGCATCACGCATCTCATTCATGCCCCTCATCTCCATTTTCCATGTGTCATATGCATCACGCCATTCATATTTCCGCACACTGCGCTCATGATTCCCATTGCCCCATGAATCAGCCATTCTTGATGCAATACACATTTCATGGTATGATGCGCCTCCACCCATGTCTTAAGACTCTAGGCCGGCCCACTCACTTGGTGGATTCAGAGGGGAGTTCACATACCAAGAGGCCGGCAATGGGTAGTGCAAGGGGTGGGTGGGGGGGAAGGTCAGGTGAGGGCAGAGAACAGCTCGGTTGCTCCCCCTTTCACCTGCTTTCTCTCTTTCTCTCAATTCTTCCATTCTTTTCCTCATCTCATCCTTAGTTTACAGAGCAGTGCATGTCATGTAAGTCTTCCATGGGTTAAGTTTCATTGGCATGGTCTCACCGCAGCTCACCATGATCTTGTAGAGTAGTCAACGGAGACCAGGCATTTTGTCGAGGAAACTCGCCACGCGTACCGTGAGTGGATTCAAGTCGACGGTGTGTCAAATGCGGTTCGGGTCGATGATGTCGATGCAATCACTGTGCATGCGCTGTAATGTCGGCGTGAGTGTTTTCCGCCGTCCGATTGCACCCCAGCCTCTCGTTTCCTCCTCCGCCTGCTCATTTCGCGTTGTCCACGGGAATGCGCTGGCAAGGGGAAGTTTTGCGATCAATTGTAACCGTTGTTGAAAGTTCTAGAATGAGCGTGGAACTCCAATGCCTGTCGATCGAGCAGATCCATGTTCATGCGCTGGCAAGCAACCGCTGTTAAAATGTTTGGAGGGACCTTGAGGCTCCGACGACCTGGGATGGAGCGGAACAAGGGTCGACGCTGGGCTGGTGGGGTCCCAAATCTAATCTCGACCCATCCCATTCCCACCCGCGCTACCCCGCCTGTGCCACCAACCAACGGTCAGGAAGCAAACGGCGATTCCTCGGCTAGCCGTGAGTTCAAATGGCAAATCGATTGGCTCCTTGTCTTCAGTCACACCTCGTTTGCTCGAACCTTTCTAGAATCACATCCTGCGTGATCACTCCACTTCTCTAGTCCTCTTGGTTTTCGCTGGAGATCTTGTTGAAACCCTCCTGAACTGCTGTTGCACCGTTGCTGGTTCGCCCCAGCTCCCACACCTAACATCCCATGGCCATTATTCACCCTGAGTCGGCCCTTGCTATAGCTGTTGCTGCTGCTACCTGTTTCGGCGACGCTGCACGATACATATGGGACGTTCCGAGCTGGGTAGCCTGCTCGCCAGCAAACTCCACTCCGTTTGAATGGCTGACGGAGTGGACTGATGCGGATGAAAAAGAGTTGAGAAGCGGCTCTGTCAAGAGCAGCTCAACTCATACTGATGAAGATGAGCTGCTGCCGCTGCTGCTGCTGGCGGATTACAATTCGGTGAACCCTAGTGAGTTGATCACTGCTGAGTGGACGGCTGAGGATGAGTCATACCTGAAAAATGGTGCTCTCAGTGAGGATGACTGCGAGTGGCTGGCTGAGAATGCGCAGGTTGACCCTGCTGAATTTATCACAGTGTGGACAGCTGCTGATGATGCGTACCTGAGGTCTGGTGTTCTCAGCATTGGTGAGAGTGAGAGTGACTGCGAATGGCTGGCAGAAAACTCGCAGGTAGACCCCTCTGAATTCATCACCGAGTGGACGGACGCTGATGAAGCCTACCTGAGAGACACGACTGTCAGGTGCTTCTCAGGACGGAGTGAGGGTGACAGGCTGCTGCTGTCGCCAAAGCTGAAGCCCCTGACATCAGCTGCTGTGGCGTACAGGGTTGGTAGGTTTGCTGAAGTGAGCAGCTAGTGGAAATCTTGTGCTCCTTTAGGCTTTTCACGGTTGAGACCTGCTGTGGCCCGGGCTGCTGCTGCAGCTATGGGTGCTGTTGTTTCTGCTGTGGGTTCAGCTGTTGATGCTGTGGTTGCTGCTGCTGACGTTGTGAGTGCCGCCGCTGCCACGGCTGCTGCTGCTATTTCTGCATCATCTGCAGCTTCCAAGCCAGCAGCAAAGGCTGCTGCTTCCAAGCCAACAGCAAAGGCTGCTGCTTCCAAGCCAGCAGCAAAGGCTGCAGCTTCTAAGCCTGCAGCCAAGGCTGCAGCTCCTAAGCCTGCAGCCAAGGCTGCAGCTCCCAAGCCAGCAGTCAAGGCTGTAGCTCCCAAGCCAGCAGTCAAGGCTGCAGCTCCCAAGCCAGCAGTCAAGGCTGCAGCTTGCAAGCCTGCTGACACCAACAGCAGCTCCTGCCACGGCCAGTGCCAGTGCTGCTCGTGTGGCGCCTCTGAGGCCAGCAGTGCAGAAGGGGTCGCAGGGAAGAACAAGGAGGACAAGTGGGTAAATAAGTCAGGCTGCACAAACAGCCTTACAAAATAATTATCTCAGATTCCTAGGTGGAAATAGACATTTCCTCAATCTATTGTTGCACAATTGTGTACATATTCATGTATAATGTACATTCAAACTGAAATCTGGGTTTCTGATATTGGCTGCTTCCTGCTGCATGAATAAGCTCTACATATATTATGCGTGGTCCACATATGCACATGCATTAAGTCACTTTCTGGGTTACTTGTTAAAGGTTCACATCCACATGCATACCTATGTTGTGTTGCTTTGAGAGTTGCACCCTAATCCAATCCAGTAGGATTTTGCCTAGGTGTTGCAACATTTGCAACCCTTATTTCCAAAGTGCTGAGGGCTTCAAATGCCGTACTTTAGTATTGAGGGCTTCTGATGTGTCGGAACATCGAATTGTAAACGAAGCAAATAGCAACGAAGCAACAGCGAGTCAACCAACGGCGAAGCTTCATCAACCTTCTTCTAGCTCTCTTTCTCCTCTCAAGCTTCAAGAGTACTATCAAGTCTAGATTATCTCTTGGTGGGATTAGATTTATCTTGGAAGCCTTGTATCTTGATTTTATATACATTGTAAAGGATGATTTATATTTATCACACGGTTGCCCGTTGTTATAAGGGTCATGGTTATCACACGGTGCCGCCAAGTGCTGAGGGCTTCAAATGCCGTACTTTAGTTCCCATTTCCCTCGCATCTTACCCTTCCCTCTTTCCACATACAAAGAATCAGTCATCTAATGCCCATGTTTCCTCCAGCAGGGATAGGGTTTCCCCAGTTTTCATGAATACGGCATATGGTTGTTTTCATAGCAACGGCATATGGTTCCCATGTTCCCTGCAGCAGGGATATTCAATATTTCTCATGCACTTGTCCCATTTCCCTTGCATCAGTCCCATTTCCCATGCACCAGTCCCAGTTTCCATGCATCAGTCCCATTTCCCATGCATCAGGCATCTCACTCCCATTTCCCATGCATCAGGCATCTCACTCCCATTTCCCATGCATCAGGCATCTCACTCCCATTTCCCATCCATCAGGCATCTCACTCCCATTTCCCATGCATCAGGCATATCACTCCCATTTCCCATGCATCAGGCATCTCACTCCCATTTCCCATCCATCAGGCATCTCACTCCCATTTCCCATGCATCAGGGATCTCACTCCCATTTCCCATGCATCAGGCATCTCACTCCCATTTCCCATGCATCAGGCATCTCACTCCCATTTCCCATCTATCAGGCATCTCACTACCATTTCCCATGCATTAGGCATGTCACTCCCATTTCCCATGCATCAGGCATCTCACTCCCATTTCCCATGCATCAGGCATCTCACTCCCATTTCCCATGCATCAGGCATCTCACTCCCATTTCCCATGCATCAGGCATCTCACTCCCATTTCCCATGCATCAGGCATCTCACTCCCATTTCCCATGCACCAGGCACCTCACTCCCATTTTCCATAAATGCATGTGCTTGTTATTATATATGCGGGGGGAGGGTGGGAGTGCAGGTCTGGTTTGGGCCAGGGAGGGAGAGGGAGGAGGGAGGAGGGAGGGGGGAGAAGAAGAAGGCATGGGTTTCAAGGGAGGTGGGGTTGCAGGCAGATGGGCAAGGGAGGGAGCGCAGCGCCATGCCATGCCGCATGCCCCACCAAATCAGCCCCAGGTGCGTTGTGAGTCGCCTCAGAGCATAGACACCATGCCACATCCCTCACACCTGCCATCCCCTCACTTGCTCTGCCCCCCCTCCGCTCACGTGCTCTGCTCCCCCCGCTCCCTTGCTCTTCCCCCCCCGCTCACTTGCTCTGCTCCCCCCCGCTCACTTGCTCTGCCCCTCCCCACCCCCTTGCGCAGGTGCCATTTTCTCCATTCGACAACATGAGGATATTTGCTGTGTGTGACGTGTAGAATGACAGATAACTTAAGAACATGATGGCCGAGGAAATGTAGATGTATGTGCTTGTTATTATATACGCCCGGGCCAGTCTGGCCATGCCCTGGCCAGGCGGGCCCAGGGGGGGAAAGGAAAGGGGAGGGGAGGCGGGTTACAAGTTACAGTTGGGCCAGGTTGGGGATATGAGAGGGGGAGAGAAGCAGAAGGTGAAACAGTGAGTAGATGCGTTTCCCGCGCTCTCTGAGTTCCTCCCTGTGCAGCTACGGGAGGGATAAGACAAGTAGAGGCAGAAGCAGGAATGGGGAGGAGATACGCATGAGCCATGCTCCCCTCCCAGGATGCTTGCGGCCGTCCCAGAAATTTCTGGGGCGCTTCGAGGGGCTGTGAGGGGCTGTGAAGGGCGTTGGGGGGTAGGGGGGCCTTGGGGGGGCTTTCCCCCGAAATTTCCCCACGTACCGGTACCGTCACCCCCCGGATATACCCCCATGGGGGGCAATAATAAAACAGGTTTTTTCAAGGGGGTGGGCTTATAATCGAGTAAATTTATAAGCGCCGGCGTTTATAAAATGACATTCATATTTTTTTATATTTTTGAACACCAAACTGTAGGTCTCGTGCTTGCCCTTTCAATCGAGTCGAAGTTACATGGGGTCGTCTGTGAAATTCTCGCGCGCGCTGGGAGACACACCCAATCTGACTCACATCCAGCTCCTGGCAGCTCCTGACAGCTCCTGCTGACTGGACCCGCATCCAGTGCAGGGTCCGAATGTGAAGGGAACCGAATGTGCAACATATCTGCCTGCTAAAGTAAAAATCATTACAACGTTTTGTACACATTTCAAATTTTAAAGTTTACGTGCGCTTATAATAAAACTAGTTTTTTCAGGGGGTGCGCTTATAATCGAGGAGGGGATATAAGCGCCATATGCCAATTAGAAGCGCCAGGCGCTTATCCTAGGGTGGCGCTTATATCCGGGGGGTGACGGTATGTATCCTGGTGCTTGTTACTTTTGTTATACCATACTTTTATTTATTCCAACAAGTAGAGCACCTGATCGAACAATTCTCTCAGGGTCTCCTGTTTGATAATCAGTCTCGTTGCGCTGGAGATATGCTGGCTGGACAGATCATTTGGGTAACCCCAATCGGTCTCATGTGATGTGACCATACAATGCGCAGAAAGCTTGCTACAATACAACCCGTGGTACCGGTACCACCACCACCACCATGTGCTACCAGAGCTACTATCAAAGCAGCATTCTACTAACAAAACAAACAAACAGTGATATGAAAGCTACTACCAGAGCGTGTCCCCCACCTGCTGCCTGCACATGAAACCAACACAACACAATGTCAACACAAATGCCACTCTAGGCTGAAATTGTACACTAGTTCAGCGCAAGCATACACACGATTTCGGTTTACTTCAAACCTTACAGGCTTTCAGTCCCCCTCCCCTGCCACTCACCTGTTCCATTGTGGGTCTCATGGACGGGATTGACTGAGTGCACCCAAGAGCCAACTCTGCCAACCCCTCCACCTGGAGAAAGAGGGAGGAGGGTGCGGAAGGGGTGAACAGAGGTTTGAGGCGTCCGAAAGCTCTTACAAACGGATTTGACTGAGTGCACCCAAGAGCCAGCCCTGCCAACCCCTACACCTAGAGAAGGGTAGGGGGTTTGTGGGCAGGGGGAACAACCAAGGCCGTACAGATTGCTTGCACGTCTCTCTTGCTAACTCAACCCGGTTGTGGTGATAAAAAGCGTCCAACTCAGTGGATTATCACAAGACTTGAGGCATGTTGCTGGGCAGGGGGGCAGGCAGCTGGCAGCAGGCAGAAGGGTGAACATGCAAACAGGCACACCTCCTCCCAAATAAGAAGCGCTGCCAGCCCTCATCTCACCTCGCCCCGGGCATGAACTGGATGGCTGGCGCAATCTTGTCACGTGTGAGAGAGCCTTGGCGCAGCCGCTCCCCCTGGGCCGACGCGGGATCGCTTAGGGCCTCCGCAGGCCAACACAAGCAGCCGCTCGCGCCGGTCGTCGTACCAGACCAGCCCAGCCAAGTGGGACACGTCGCTCAGACGCCCCACCTGCGGGAATGAGGAATGGGGAGGTGAGGGATGGGCTTTAGCTGGGAGCAGCCTCACGCCAGAAGCCTCACGTATCATCTCATCCTAGCATCGTGACCCGCATTGCGAGTCACAGTTGCAGCCGCGTACATAAGGGACCAGCAACTGCATGCTGCCTCACTGCGGTGACTGCCGCCTAGCAAATCACGAACCACCACAGCCTCCTTCGTATCTAACTTGCAACACTTTTCTGTTTCCACTCTCTCACCAGCAGCTGCCACAGCTCCAGCAGCAGCCGCGACAGCTCCAGCAGCAGCAGCCACACTCCCCACCCGAGTCCATCTGGTCACTGGGAGCAACTTTCTGAGGCAGGCTGCTCCCCTCCTCCGCCTCTTCCTCCTCTGCATCCCCCCAGAAGCTCCACAACCACCACGCGCACTCCCCCCAATAGTCCCCGCGCCCACTGGGAGAGGCCTCGAGCCACGGTGTGCAGTGCTGCTGCGACTGGAACCCCGGCGGCAGGTGCTTGTGAAACGCCTGCACGGCTCCGTCCACCCTGTCCTCCCTGGCAATCAACCCTGCCAGCTCTCTTGCTGCTGCCACCACCTGCCACAGGGGAGATGGAAGAAATGAGGGTGCGTGGTTGAATGAGGAAGATTTTTTCCACTGGAGAGGCATGCACGCACACGCCTCAGAATTCGTCTCAGCGCATGCGAGTTTAATTTCATGTGGGGGGCATTGTTCTTTTGCTTCTACGCATACAGAGCGGGGGCCAAGCAACGCCTCCACTGCATCATTCACTCAGTCCTCCCTGCCTATCCTGCCCACCAGCTCCCTCACTGCTGTCACCACCTGGCAGGAGATTACTCAGGTGGCTGCCCCAATCTTGTCCAAGTGTGACAAACACCTGGACGAGCAATACTCCCACACGCCTCCGCTCGGACAGACACACACGGCCACCCCTCATTTCACCTCGTCCCCGTAACGTCAACTCTCGCACCCCTCATCTCACCTTGTCCCCGAAACGTCAACTCTCCCACCCCTCATCCCACCTCGTCCCCGAAACGTCAACTCTCCCACCCCTCATCTCACCTCGTCCCCGAAACGTCAACTCTCCCATCCCTCATCTCACCTCGTCCCGAAAACATCAACTCTCCCACCCCTCATCTCACCTCGTCCCCAAAACATCAACTCTCCCACCCCTCATCTCACCTCGTCCCCAAAACATCAACTCTCCCACCCCTCCTTATCTCACCTCGTCCCCAAAACATCAACTCTCCCACCCCTCATGTCATGCTCACCTCAGCTCGGATCATGAACTCAATAGCAGCAACGATCCTGTCGAGTGTGAGCGCGCCGATGGGGATGGGCTCGGGACCCACCCCCGCTGCATGCACGCTCGCCCCCCAGAAGGGCTGATCGCCGAAGAAGGGGATGATGGTGGTGGGGCACTGGGGGGGGGGGGGGGGGAGACAGGGGAGCAGGGGTGGGGAAGAGAGAGAGGGAGGGAGCAGGGAGGAAGGATGGGGGTCCATTCCGCACCTGCTGCATGCATGCATGCACGCCCACACACACACTAGCGATGGCACTCGCTACTGCCACAAGACTACAGCAGCCACTCACCCCCCGCTTGCCCCACTCACCCCCCGCTTGCCCCACTCACCCCTGCCTTGCCCCACTCGCCCCTGCCTTGCCCCACTCGCCCCTGCCTTGCCCCACTCGCCCCTGCCTTGCCCCACTCACCCCTGCCTTGCCCCACTCGCCCCTGCCTTGCCCCACTCGCCCCTGCCTTGCCCCACTCGCCCCTGCCTTGCCCCACTCGCCCCTGCCTTGCCCCACTCGCCCCTGCCTTGCCCCACTCGCCCCTGCCTTGCCCCACTCGCCCCTGCCTTGCCCCAATCGCCCCTGCCTTGCCCCACACAGCACTCACTCGCCCCTGCCTTGCCCCACCACTGCAACCATGCATACACCACTCACCCCTGCCTTGAGCCCAGCAGCAGTGGTGCCCACCCCCCGATGGTGCAGCACAGCCCTGCATGGCTGCACGCTGGCATGCACACCACCCACACTTGTAACAAGAAAGGCATGCCACGCACCCCCGTCTTGCCCCACTCACCCCTGCCTTCAGCCCAGCAGCAGTGGTGCCCGCCCCCCCATGGTGCAGCACAGCCCGACAGCGAGGGAAGAGCCAGTCGTGCGGGCAGTTGCCGATCACCAGCACGTTGGGGTTGGGTGCTTCCACTAGTGTGGGGGAGAACGAGAGAAGGGTGAAGGAGAGGAGATACAAAGAGTGAGCTGGCAGGGGTGGGCCGGGGCGTGTAGGGGGTCATGACACACACACACCATCTCATCTCAGGCGCCTCAGGATGTGAACTCCAGAGTTCAAGGCTCGGAATACCTGTTTTGTTCTCAGATATACCAAGCACATTGAAATGTGCGCACACAAATGACATGCATGTGCATCATCGTAGCATTCAAGCACATGGATGTGCATCGTAGCATTCAAGCACATATGATATGGATGTGCATCGTATCATTCAAACACATATGATATGGATGTGCATCGTATCATTCAAACACATATGATTTGGATGTGCATCCTAGCATTCAACCGTGCCCACCTCTTCCAACCGCACCACCCATGCTTGCCCACCCCACCCCACAGCACCCACTCTTGCCGCGCGCGCCCACCCTACGGTACTCACTCTTGCCCAGCTCCCCCCAGCCCTCCTGCAGTATCCCGCGCTGCAATGCCTCCACCAACTTCTGTGTCAGCCCCTTGGGGTCTGACACCGGCTGCAGGGCGGGAAGGGGGGGGGGGGGGGGGGGGGGGGGGGGTTTGAGAGGAGGGGGAGGGGGGAGGGGGGGTGGATTGGGGACTGATGGAAGCTAGGGGGGGAGGGAGAGCATGGGGTTGTGGGGGATGGAGGAGCAGATGGTGAGAGGCAGAGAGAGCGGAATTCCCGTTGACCTGTGCAACCCAGTGGGAAGACGAACAGCTGAAAAGACGACTGCTCTGTACAGACCAGCCATGCAAGTGCAGTTCGTGAGAATCTGCATGGCAGGTGCAGGGAAGGTGCAAAGAAGGTGGTAGACCGTTTCTAGGATTGTTACAATGAGACTGACCGGACAGGACTACCTTTTCAAATGAAAGGGAGGTGATGCAAGACGCACCAAGCTACCAAAGCCGATGAAGACGGGGGCCGGGCCGGAGTCAAGAAACTGTTGGATGTACGCTGGGGGCGAGTAGTGGTCCGCCAGGTTGAGAAAACAGAAGCCCACCACGTCTATCAGGTTGCCCCAGTCTGGCGGTTGGGGTTCAGAGAGCAGGGGCGGATGACAAGTTGCTACAAGGAAAAGGAAAGGAAGCAGAGATGGTGGGTGTGAGAGGGGTGAGCGGGCAGTGGCCTGCCAGGTTGCGGAACCAAAACCCCATCACGTCACGTCACGTCACGTCTATCAGATTGCCTAGACGGATACACAGCTTGGGGAGAGCGTGAGGCTCTGAAACATCGCAGAAATCCTAAAGTGTCTCACCATGGGGTTTGGGGGCGAGCGTGGGGCTCCAGATGTAGCCAAAGGGGATGCGCATCTTAGGGTGGTTGCGCAGCGGGATGGGCGGCAGCTTGAGCTTCTTGCGGAAACTGTTGATAAAGTCCCGCACGCCCAGCCACATGAGCCCCTCCACCACCACGTACGATAGCTGCGGGTGGGAAGATGATGAACGGGGCAGAGCCGCAGAGGGGGAGGATGTGAGAGGCCAGTGCATGGAGTAAAGCACGGCCAGCTACTTCAGCCCCTCCACCTCCACCACGTAAGATAGCTGTGGGGAGGGCATGTGTAGCAGCAGAGGGGGTTTTGGGGAGAGATTGAAAGCAGTTGGTTGATACAGTCCCACACGCCCAGCCACATCAGCCCCTCCACTCCACCACACCACGTACGATACATCCACGGAGGGCACGGGAGAGAGGAGGAGGAGGAGACCATGCATGGTAACGCAACGCAGCATGAGCAGTGAGAGCACCTGCTTCTCATAGCCCAGCAAGCGCCCTAGGCTCTTAAAGCCCAGCAGCGCACCTACTTCTTAAAGCCCGGCAGCGCACCTGGTTCTTAAAGCCCGGCAGCGCACCTGGTTCTTAAAGCCCGGCAGCGCACCTGGTTCTCATAGCCTGTGTAGGCGGGCATCTCGCCAGCCAGGGGACGCGGGTACTCTGCCGTCATGCTGCCAGTGCAACGGGGGGAGATGGGATGCAGAATGGAATTGAATGGAGTGCGCATTCGTGTGGGAGAAATCATGTGATGTGTCTGTGCGCGTCTGGGAGCCTTGGGAGGAAAGGCAGGAGGTTTTTCAAGAGCAGGGTGAGGATTTAAAAAAAAAATCCATTAGTTTCTTGAAAACAGCAATAGCTTCATGGCATGGAGCATGGGCAGTGGCACGAGCAGAGCAGAGCGTACCTCCACGGCAGAGCGTACCTCCACAGCAGAGCGTACCTCCACAGCAGAGCGTACCTCCACAGCAGAGCGTACCTCCACAGCAGAGCGTACCTCCACAGCAGAGCGTACCTCCACAGCAGAGCGTACCTCCACGGCAGAGCGTACCTCCACAGCAGAGCGTACCTCCACAGCAGAGCGTACCTCCACGGCAGAGCGTACCTCCACAGCAGAGCGTACCTCCACAGCAGAGCGTACCTCCACAGCAGAGCGTACCTCCACAGCAGAGCGTACCTCCACAGCAGAGCGTACCTCCACAGCAGAGCGTACCTCCACAGCAGAGCGTACCTCCACAGCAGAGCGTACCTCCACAGCAGAGCGTACCTCCACAGCAGAGCGTACCTCCACAGCAGAGCGTACCTCCACAGCAGAGCGTACCTCCACAGCAGAGCGTACCTCCACGCCATGTGAAGAACATGTGAAGGGGCACTTGCAGGGCCTCCGCCACTGTGGTGTGACCTGCATGCATGGTCACCAGGGCACGCATGGGTGCGGATGGGGGTGCATGGGGGCGCATGGGGTGCAGTGCAGGTGTGTATGGTTGTGGGTGTGTTCGCGTCTCGTGGATGGACCATGGATGCGTGGTTGAATTGAACGCATTGAGATGCCGATACATGGATGTGTGTATGGCGAATACACAGCCCTGCGTTTCCTGCTCCAGCGCATAGCTTACCGTAAACAGGAGGGTTGGGCGATGATGGCGGGCACACACGTACCGTACACGGGGGGGTTGGCGATGATGGCATCGGCACGGAAGGGGGCGCCGTTGCTGGCGAGGTCGGGGTGGGTGCAGGCGGGCCAGGTGGAGAAGATGATGGACTCGAGCTGCTGCCACTGCTGTACTACCTCCGCGCTGCTCGATGGCAGGAAGCCCTTGTTCTTCACCATGTCTGCCTGGGGGGAGGAAAGACAAGGCAGGGGTGAGGAAGGCGCCCCGAACGAAGCTTTGTCCCTTTGGGGACTGCTCTACTGTATTGGAGCCCACTCTGGAGCTCTCAATCCGAGAAACGCGTAGACAGCAGCAAGCTCGGTTTGACGGGCCACTAATTGAGAGGTCTCAATTAGTACAAGTAGCTATGTCCGTTTGGGGACTGCTTGACCGTATTGGAGCCCACTCTGCCACGGACACCTATAAAGGGTCAAAGGTGTCCGTGGCGGCAGCAAGTAGCTATCAGGTAATGCATTGTTTGCTCTTACTCACCTGCATGCCTGTAATATAGAGTACACTATACGAAGGAGCATTAGAGAAGGTGGTGGCGAGACGAGGCATGGCAGCGGAAGGCGTGGATTGGATGACTCCCCACGCCCATGTCCTCCCCCCTTCCCCCTCCCCTCTCCCCGCACTCACGTCCGCCTCGCCAACCCCACCCAATCAAATTTCTCCGCGCTTGCAGTCCTCTCACCCCAATCGATTGCCCTCACTTCCTTCCCCCCACTGGAGCTTACCCCCTACCCCACCTACACTCACCTCACCTCCTCCCCCCCCCCCGCGCACTCACATTCAGCGAGCACCTTGGGATCGCCGGCCAGGGGGTAGAACTCGAGCCCGCCTGCCATGACCAACTCGAGCCCGTCTGCCATGACCAACTCGAGCCCGCCTGCCATGACCAACTCGAGCCCGCCTGCCATGACCAACTCGAGCCCGCCTGCCATGACCAGCTCGAGCCCGCCTACCATGACCAACTCGAGCCCGCCTGCCATGACCAACTCGAGCCCGCTTGCCATGACCAACTCGAGCCCGCCTGCCATGACCAACTCGAGCCCGCCTGCCATGACCAGCTCGAGCCCGCCTGCCATGACCAACTCGAGCCCGCCTGCCATGACCAACTCGAGCCCGCCTGCCATGACCAGCTCGAGCCCGCCTGCCATGACCAACTCGAGCCCGCCTGCCATGACCAACTCGAGCTCGCCTGCCATGACCAGCTCGAGCCCGCCTGCCATGACCAGCTCGAGCCCGCCTGCCATGACCAGCTCGAGCCCGCCTGCCATGACCAGCTCGAGCCCGCCTGCCATGACCAACTCGAGCCCGCCTGCCATGACCAACTCGCCGTACTTGCTGTGCGACGCCAGCCGCACGCGGTGCCCGTAGCTCTGCCACGGGGGGGACTAAGCGCGGATGGCACGGGGGGAAGGCACTGGGGGGACTGAGCGCGGATGGCATGGGGGGAAGGCACTGGGGGGACTGAGCGTGGATGGCATGGGGGGAAGGCACTGGGGGGACTGAGCGTTGATGGCACGGGGGGAAGGCACTGGGGGGACTGAGCGTGGATGGCATGGGGGGAAGGCACTGGGGGGACTGAGCGCGGATGGCACGGGGGGAAGGCACTGGGGGGACTGAGCGTGGATGGCATGGGGGGAAGGCACTGGGGGGACTGAGCGCGGATGGCATGGGGGGAAGGCATTGGGGGGACTGAGCGCGGATGGCACGGGGGGAAGGCACTGGGGGGACTGAGCGCGGATGGCAGGGGGGGAAGGCACTGGGGGGACTGAGCGCGGATGGCAGGGAGGGAAAGGCGCTGGGGGGAGGCGCGGGGATGGCACGGGGGAGTCATGGACAATAATTTGAGCGACTCCTTCCACGTCCCCCACCCACCCCCGGGCGCTGATTTCACCTTGTATGCCGCACCTTCAGTTTCTGACCAATGGCAATGAACGGCGGTACGTCCCCGCGCGTGCCCACGATCAGCATGCATATGTTCAGCTTCCCCACGCTCTCCGCCGCACGCGGCGCTATCACCTCGCCCTCATGCCCCGCCTGGTCCTGCGGCTGCGCGAACATGTGCAGAAAATCCTCCTGGAGTTCCCGAGAGAACTTGTCCGATTGAATGTGCACCTTGTAGTCATCGCCCACGACCGTGTTCTGCTTCAGCTCGTTGTAAAATCTCGATGCCAATGCCTCACGTTGCCGGGCCGTCAGGTATGCGGATCGCCGGGTGTACGGCGCCTTGGCACGTGGCAGATCCGTGGCGGCTCGTCTGATATTGGTCTTGCTGTCTCGCATATCGCCACTGCCTAGGCCTTTCTCCCCGTCCAGGATCTCGTACCCGCTGCCTGGGACCACGCCGTCACTAACCCTCGATAAAATGCCGTCGTCATCCTCGTTATGAGGGTGTTTCGCCATAATGGGCAACGAGTACATTTTCATGGTATCCGTGAAAGTGGCCATTGTATCGGATTGGCTGCTGTGCCAAGCATTTTGCTCCCAGCCGGAAGCCGCGCACTCTGTGGTCGTGGGGTGAACCTTGCCCACAAGCAGATGCGCGCGAAACTGCGGGGGAGCAGCTACAGCTCCTTCGTTAGCGCGACTAGTTTTGTCATAAGGGAAATCTTGAATCACAAGACGAGGCTGCCGAGGAAGACTACCGGCATCAGTGGCGACAACGGCATCAGTCGCGACAACGGCATCAGTTCTCGTAGAGGCATCGTTAGTGGACGACGGCGGTCCTGGCACGTCAGTGGCGCTTTCTCGGTCAGTGATGGCAAGCTGAGTCATTTGAGCCACGAATTGAGATATTGCCAAAAACGGCTTCTTGCAAAATGAGTAAGGGTTCAAAAACCACGACGTCGCGAGTTATGCAGTGCTTGCTGTGAACTCTGATGCTTCACCAGAGAAAAAATATTACTAGAACGCTTTGAAAAAACCCACGATTGGTGAGAAACTTATTTCAGCCTGTCAGCTGGAGGTTGGCCGAGTGCAATTATTTTCGCAACAGCGATTCTACCGACTTTCTGGACCTGTAGCTTGTCAGAGGTCCACTGGTGATCCCCAATTGATACCAGGGAAGGGTTACAGGCACGTTGGCCTGGGGGGTTATGGGCGCACTTACCCGTTACACAAAACATTCCTCATTTCTTCACATGGTATCAGAGCGAAGGTCTCGGGTTCGAATCCCGGTGTATGCACATGTTGGCCGTTGCCACTGTGCTCAGTCCTGGGCCTCCCAGTGTGGGGGGGTGTCAGTAGAGCTACACTGTGAGATCCCCGATTGATCCTAGGGGGGTTACAGGAGCGTTCGCCTGGGGGGTTGTGGGTGCACGGACGCGCTACACAAACAAGCCCTTTTATCCCAATGGTCTAGTGGTTGGGATTCTGACATGGTATCAGAGCGAAGGTCTCGGGTTCAAATCCCGGTGTGTGCACTTCGGGCATCCCAGTGCGGGAGGGTGTCAGAGGTCCACTGGTGATCCCCGATTGATCCTAGGGAAGGGTTACAGGCACGTTGGCCTGGGGGGTTATGGGCGCACTTACCCGCTACACAAAACATTCCTCATTTCTTCACATAGCTCGCAAGCACTTCCCCCATGTCGCAGGGAGAACTTAGAATTCCGACAAGCACCTTGTTGAACCATGATGTGTCGTACCGGGGGTGGCTTATGGGAGAGAAAGTGTTTCATCCTAGCCAAAAACCCGAGGACGAAATCATCCATGGCTTCTGAGTCGTCCTCACAGGCAATGCCCGCCTGCATGCGCCACGGTTGTTGCGCGAGACTTCAGACCCTCAGCTGGATGATGGAGAAGAGTGCGATTATTCTTTCGGCAACACCGATTTGATCATTACTGCTCAACCCAAACCACCCTCCAACTCCCCCATTTTCCCCGCTTTTGGTCTGCAATCCTAATCCTCGATATTGACAATCGACTGCATTGATCCGAACGCCGAGAGCTACAGTCACAACCAACTTCGTAATAGAGCTATGATCGATCATACTTTTATTTATAGAAAAAGAAGGGAAGGTTGTTCGACGCATGTATTGGTATGAAACAATTGTCTAGAATGATTTTGAGGCGCAACACATGTACCATGGCGCAGACTTCACTGCATCTGCGATCCTCTGTGCACAGTGGCTACAATACAACCCTGATGAGTTGAAACAACCGAAAGGTTATATAAAGCATTCCCGAAGCTGCTCCACTGTACTGGTACCGCAATAGCTCATATAGAGCATGCGGAATGTCGAGGGTCACCCGAAGGTCAACCGTGTGAAGAAGTCAACGGTCAATCATCTTGTTTTCTTTCAATTATTATTCAACAAGGTCACTACAGAGGCTTCACTGTCTCCTCCCAGACTTCTGAGATCCTATCCTGTCTACTGAATCCTCTGGTTATATCTACATGTTATGAGAGCTAGAGTGGATTATAGGATCCGTCTGTCAAACTTATATGCTATAGTCTGTGTAGGCTGTAGTGGGGTAGACTATATGGGGTACAACATTTCTAGGTTTTCCTACTTGTACCCACCTGCTTGCTAGTTCATTCATTCCTCATTCTTCACATGGTATAGAGCAGGTTCCCTAGTGGGAACGCTTCCTTGGGCCCACCACTGAATTTTTTTTTTTTCCTGACCGGAGCGTCAGTCGCTCCTGCCCGAGGCGCGCCTTGTTCGCCGACCTTCCTGGCCCCTAGCGACCTCGTCTCCGCCCCTACGCGGCCCCGTCGCCGCCCCTAGCGGCCCCAGTCGCCGCCCCTAGCGGCCCCGTCGCCGCCTCTCACCCTACGCGGCCCCGTCGCCGCCCCTACGCGGCCCCGACGCCGCCCCTAGCGGCCCCATCGCCGCCCCTACGCGGCCCCGTCGCCGCCCCTACGCGGCCCCGTCGCCGCCCCTAGCGGCCCCGTCGCCGCCTCTCACCCTACGCGGCCCCGTCGCCGCCCCTACGCGGCCCCGTTGCCGCCCCTACGCGGCCCTGTCGCCGCCCCTATCGGCCCCGTCGCCGCCCCTAGCGGCCCCGTCGCCGCTCCCTTACCTACGCGGCCCCATAGCCGTCCCTAGCGGCCTCGTCGCCGCCCCTACGCGGCCCTGTCGCCGCCCCTACCGGCCTCAACGCCGCTTCCCTTCCTACGCGGCCGCGATGCCGCCACTGCACGGCCCCGTCGCCGCCTCTACGCGACCCCGTCGCCGCCCCTAGCGGCCCCGTCGCCGCTCCTCTCCCTACGCGGCCCTGTCGCCGCCCCTAGCGGCCCCAACGCCGCCTCTACCGAGCAGCCCAGCAGCTGAGCCGCCCAACAGCAGAGCCGCCGAGCCGCCCAGCAGCCGAGCCGCCGAGCCGCCCAGCAACGGAGCCGCCGAGCCGCCCAACAACCGAGCCGCCCGACAGCCGAGCCGCTCGACAGCCGAGCCGCCCAGCAGCCGAGCCGCCAAGCCGCCGAGCCGCCCAACAGCCGAGCCGCCGAGCCGCCCTGCCGTCGAGCCCCTACTGCTCCTACCGGCGCGCCCCGGCCCTACTTACTTGGACTAGTGAGATCATTCCCTGCTAGACCACTGCAGTCATGGCTACCCGCAGTGTCCTTACCTTTGATGCTGAGGGTCGTGCTGTTGACTTTGAGGTCTGGGTCGATGACCTCCAGCTGTTCCTCCAGTGCGATAGGGCAAATGGACTCTCTCTGTTCGATCTCACCTCTGGTGTCTCTCCTGCCTCGCCTGCTACTGCTGACAGCACTATTCGCTCACAGTGGGCCACACACGATGCTGCTGCCCGCCTTGCTGTGCGTCGCCACTTACCGCCCACTGAGCGTGCGCACTTTAGCCAGTACAAGAGTGCTCAGACCTTGTACGACGCTGTAGTTGCACACTACTCCTCCCCTGCCACTGCTGCACTTAGCCGCCTCATGCTGCCGTACCTGTTCCGAGACCTTGCTGCCTTTCCTACAGTCGCTGACCTCATTACGCACCTCCGCACTAGTGACACTCGCTACCGCGCTGCGCTTCCTGCTGAGTTCTGTGCCAAGAACCCCCCCCCCATGTACATCACCCTCTACTACATAGTCACCCGGCTCCCTGACTCTCTTCGCTTAATCAGGGACCACTTCCTCTCAGTTTGCCCCACCACACTCACCGTTGACCTCCTCGAGGAGCGCCTCCTAGCAGCAAAGAAGAGCATAGTCGCTGTTGGAGCCTTTCGTGGTGACCCTCGCACCCCCGTCTTTGAGGGGTGTTCCCCCTCCCCCCTCTTGCCCTCTATTGCCTCTGCCGCTGCGGCCGACCTCGTTGGTTTCGAGTCGGTCGGCGCTGCGTCTGCCCCTAGTGGGAGACGCCGCACCGGCAAGGGCAAGGGGGGCAAGGGCGCAGGAGGGGCTGGCGGGGGCGGTGGAGGTGGTGGTGGAGGCAGTGGAGGGGGTGGGGGTGGTAGTGAGAGTGGTGGCGGGGGTGGAGGTGTCGGTGGCAGCAGTATAGGCGGTGGAGGCGGCGGTGGTGGCGGAGGGAGCGGAGACAGCGGAGGTGGCGGAGGCGGCGGAGGTGGCGGAGGCGCCGGAGGTGGCGGAGACGGCGGCGGGGGCGGTGGAGCTGGTCGCGGCTCTACGAAGAGGAGTGGCTCCGGTGGTGGTCCGCGCCAGCAGCAGCAGCGGGCTCGTGAGACCCCGTCCCCTCAGCAACTTCGTGAGTGGTACGGTGGGCGTCAGCGAGGTGGGGGTACTGGTCCCTGCACCTACGTCCTCCGTACAGGCGACCATGCTGGTGAGCAGTGCGGGGGCCCGCACTCCACCCAGCGCTGCTTCGGCCGTTTGACGGACGCGTGGCGTCACCAGTTCCCTGACGCCACTGAGATCCCTCACTGGACGTTCTCTCTAGGGCTGGGGTTGCTATCTTTGATCTTGATTATGATGCTTTTCTTGCTGCCATGTATGCTGTGTCTACTAGTGATGAGGGTGACTGTTACCTGTGTGTTCCCCCTGACCCGCGCATTGAGGCTGCTGCTCTAGGTGCTGGTGAGGCTCCTGCTCTAGGTGCTAGTGCGTCTTCTGCCCCAGGTGCTGGTGAGTCTGCTCTCTCAGGTACCACGTCGGCTCACGCCTTGAACACCTTCACCCTTGACTCGGGTGCTTCCCGCTCTTTCTTTCGCGACCGCACCACGCTTACGCCGCTTAGTCGGCCGGTTGCGGTCTCCCTGGCGGACCCCTCTAGGGGTCGTGTCCTTGCTAGCTTCTCCACTGTCTTACCGTGCCCGGCAGCCCCCTGTGGCACCCTGTCAGGCCTCTTCCTCCCCTCATTCTCTACGAACTTGGTGAGTGGAGCTGATCTACAGGATAGGGGGGTTGACCAGTTCACTCCTGCGAATCAGGTGTTGACTGCAGCGTCCAGGTCTGGTCCTGAGTCTGCGCCCTGCTCGTGTCGTCTCCTGTCGCACAAGACTCTCCTCTGGCACCACCGCCTTGGTCACCCCTCCCTGCCTCGTCTCCGAGGGATGGCCTCCCGTGTCCTTGTCTCTGGTCTCCCCCGGTCTCTACCTCCCCTACCTCCGGGGCCTGCCCCTACCTGCGTCCCATGCGTCGAGGGGCGAAAGCGCATCGCCCCTCACTCCTCCGAGTTTCCTCCGACAGAGGCTCCGCTACAGACTCTTCATATGGACGTGTGGGGCCCCGCCCGAGTCCGTGGCCAGGGTCACGAGCGTTACTTCCTGTTGGTGGTTGACGACTACTAACGTTACACCACAGTCTTCCCCTTGCGCAGCAAGGGTGCCGTCACTGAGGTGTTGATCGACTGGATCCGCGCAGCTCGTCTCCAGCTCAGAGAGAGTTTCGGCTCTGACAGAGGCGGGGAGTTTTCCTCTGCCCGTCTGGGAGCCTTCTGTCGAGCACAGGGCATCCGCCAGACCTTCACGCTTCCGGCCTCTCCACAGCAAAATGGGATTGCTGAGCGCCGCATTGGCATGGTCATGGACGTCGCTCGTACGTCCATGATCCATGCGGCTGCCCCCCATTTTCTGTGGCCGTTTGCGGTTCAGTCTGCAGCGCATCAACTCAACCTCCAGCCCCGGGTCGCCTTGCCAGAGACCTCCCCCACCCTGCAGTGGACGGGGAAGGTTGGCGATGCGTCTGCGTTTCGGGTCGGGGGATGTCGGGCGTTTGTCCGCGACTTGTCTGCGGACAAGCTGTCCCCCCGTGCTGTTCCCTGCGTCTTCCTTGGCTTCCCCCCTGACGCGCCTGGGTGGCAGTTTTACCACCCCACCTCGCACCGTGTTCTGTCCTCCCAGGACGTCACCTTTGACGAGTTGGTGCCGTACTACCGTCTCTTCCCCTACCACACAGCGCCCCTCCCCCCGCCGCCGCTCTTCCTTGCGCCTGGTCCTCCCCCGGTAGACCCCCTCCCCCCTCAAGGTCCAGCCCGGTCAGGTGTGTCCCAGGTAGACACGATCGAGCCTGTCGAGGTAGCTGTTGACTCTGGTGCTGCTAGAGGTGCTGAGCCTGCGGGTGCCGGGTCTGGAGGTGCTGAGCGTGCGGGTGCGGAGCCTGGGGGTGCTGAGTCTAGGGGTGCGGAGCCTGGGGGTGCTGAGTCTGGGGGTGCTGAGCCTGGGGGTGCTGAGCCTGGGGGTGCTGAGCCTGGGGGTGCGGAGCCTGGGGGTGCTGAGTCTGCTCGTGTGGCCTTTCGTGGTGCTTCGTCGAGGCGGGAGATACTCTCTCCGCAGGAGTTGCGCGAGTGATTTGCCCGGCGCTGGAGCCGTGCTGCTGGAGCTGGAGGTACTTCTGTTGCTGCTGGTCCCAGGGGTGCTCGTCCTGGTGGTACTGGAGCTGCTGGGACTGGGGGTGCTGCTGGGGCTGATGGAGTTGGTCCTGCTGGAGGTACTGCTGGAGCTGCTGGCGGTACTGGAGCTGACGGTCCTGCTGGAGCTGGAGCTACTGGAGCCGGAGCTGCTCGGGGTGTTGGCGCTGGAGGTGCTGCTAGCGCAGGTGCATCTGCGGGTGCTGGAGTTGGCGCTGTTGGAGCTGGAGGTGCTGCTGGCGCTGGTGCTGCCGCTGAGGGTACTGGTGCTGTCCTTGCTGGCTCTGGAGGCGCTGCGCGGCCGCGGCCGTACTTCGTTCCGCTCCTTAAGCAGGTTCTTAGTCTTCCGCCTTCTACTGGTCGTGATCCTCCCTTAGAGTGTCCACAGCCTGTCCAGTTGCAGTCACAGTTACAGCCCGCCTCCCCTCTGCCCGCTCCTTCTCCCTACACTGGTCCTACTGGAGGTCTTGCTGAGCGTCGTGAGCCTGCGTCTCGTCCTACGTTGCCTGTTCGTGCTGCTCACACTAGTAGTCGTGCTCCGCATCCGCGTCCTCCTGCGGTCCCAGGCACACACCCGATGGCACTGCGTCCTTCCACTGCTCCTCTGCGTGTCCCGTTGCCGTCTCCCCCAGACTCCTCTCTTCCTCTCCTTGCAGACCCGGAGTCCGACTCTCTTCGTGCTGCCAGTCCTACTGTCACGCGTCTCCTAGCTACTGTTGTCACTGACCCTTCCTTTGAGTCCACTACTGCGTCTGCCTTGGTTGTTGAGCTTGTCGACTTTGCTGCTCGCTGTTGTCAAGACTACGCTGCTAGTCTTATTGCTGAGTCTGAGTCTGTCTGTCCTCCGTCCGTCGGGGGTGAGTGTGCTCTTAGCACGGACGTCCTTGAGGACAGGCAGGAAGAGTTCCAGTGTTTTGCTGCTGCTTTGCGTCATCTCGTGTCCACGCTGATTGCCCCTGAGGGAGACCCGGATGCACCAGACATCCCGACTCCTCGATCGTACGCTAAGGCGATCGAGGGTCCCTACTCCTTTCAGTGGCAGTCAGCCATGGACGCAGAGATGGCTTCCTGGAAGTCCACAGGCACCTACGTCGACGAGGTTCCCCCACCTGGGGCGAACATCGTCAGTGGCATGTGGATTTTCAGGGTGAAGCGGCCGCCGGGATCTCCGCCTGTCTTCAAGGCGCGTTATGTGGCTCGTGGCTTCAGTCATCGGCAGGGAGTTGACTACTTCCAGACCTTCTCTCCCACCCCGAAGATGACCACTCTTCGGGTGCTGCTGCACATATCCGCTCAGTGTGACTACGAGCTTCACTCTCTTGACTTCAGCACAGCTTTCCTGCAGGGCAGCCTGCACGAGGTGATCTGGCTGCGCCGCCCACCTAGCTTCACTGGGTCGTTTCCTCCTGGTACCCAGTGGAGCCTCCGGCGGCCAGTCTACGGTCTCCGCTAGGCGCCCCGTGAGTGGCACGACACACTGAGGACTACACTTGCGGCTCTTGGGTTTGCTCCTTCTACAGCCGACCCGTCGCTGTTTCTGCGCACCGACACCTCTTTGCCACCGTTCTACATCCTCGTGTACATCGACGACTTGGTCTTTGCCACTGGTGACACTGCTGGATTCGCCCACGTGAAGTCGGAGTTGCAGAAGAGACACACGTGCACAGACCTGGGTGAACTGCGTAGCTACCTTGGCTTGCAGATCACCCGGAATAGAGCACAGCGCACCATTACCCTGACTCAGTCACACATGGTGCAGCAGGTCGTTCAGCGCTTCGACTTCACGTACTCCTCGCCTCAGGCCACTCCTCTGTCTACTCGCCACTCGCTCTCAGCTCTGCCTTCGGATGAGTCCGTAGAGCCGAGTGGCCCGTACCCAGAGCTTGTTGGCTGCCTCATGTACCTGATGACCTGCACACGACTTGACCTTGCATACCCTCTTAGCATTTTGGCACGCTATGTTGCTCCTGGGAGACACCGACCAGAGCACATGGCTGCAGCGAAGAGGGTGTTGCGCTACTTGTGCAGTACGTCGGGCATGGGGCTAGTGCTTGGAGGGGGACGTCTAGTGGTCCTCACAGGTCACGCAGACGCCTCTTGGGCTGACGACCAGGCTACGCAGCGGTCGTCACAGGGTTACACCTTCAGCCTTGGCTCCGGCTCTGTTTCGTGGCGGTCTACCCGCTCGTCTTCTGTTCTCGGCTCCAGCTGTGAGGCTGAGATCTACGCGGGGGCCATGGCTGCACAGGAGCTACGCTGGCTCACCTACCTGCTGACTGACCTAGGAGAGCCGCCTCGTTCTCCTCCAGTTCTGTACGTAGACAACAAGGCCATGCTGGCCTTGTGTCGGGAGCACAGACTGGAGCACAGAACGAAGCACATTGCTCTCCGCTACTTCCTTCCTCGTGAGCTGTAGTTGCGTGGTCAGCTGCGCCTTGCTTATGTGGCCTCTGAGGCCAACACTGCTGATATCTTTACCAAGGCACTTCCGCGTGGTGATCATCAGCGCTTCTGTACTATGCTAGGTTTTGAAAGTTTAGAAGAAAGAAGAGGGGTTGCACTAGCAAGAATGGGGATACAAATAGCAAACCCTAGAAGGGTTGTACTTGCTTTAGAGCACCCCACTACAGGCTAGAGCATAAGATAACATTCTGACACACCCCTATAGCCAAAGTGGGGTGTAATCAGCAGAGCAAGCAAAGCAGTACAAGCTCAGGGTGGATCACAATGTCACCACACATTCTGAGCACAAGTTCAAGAAGCAATAGTTTAAAGGGTACAATTATGAGCAAAGCTAGTGGTAGTCACAACGGGCAAGCGAGGAGGAGGAGAGAGAGTGAGAGGAGAGGAGATAGGAGGCGACGGCTGAAGGTGTAGACACACGGGCAACAGGAGGCAGACTGGCACAGCGGCTACCGGACGAAGTCCCCGGAATACAGGAGTAACAGGCCCTGTGGCTAAAGTAGCGGCAGACGAGCAACGGACCCACGGGCGGCTGGCACAGCTGGCTACGACTTGGCTACCGGACGAAGTCCTCGGAATACAGGTGCTGCTGGCGACACGACGGCAACCTCCATACAGCTTCCCCAAACTATCCCACTCCCCCTGGCACACACCCGCTGCTACACCGCTAGCTCCACTCCCACGCACCCCCCTTAAACCCTAAACCCCAGTCTCCCACACATCCACCCCCCTTAGCGACAGCTGCAGCAGTGGGAGACAAAGAAGGAGGAGGAGCAAAGGGAGGAATGCAGAAGTGCCACCCCCATACTCGCCACCCCCTACTCGCCACTCCCCAAACCCTAACACAGGCAGGGCGGGATGGCGGGTAGGGAGGTTACGGGGGAGGGGGGGAGGGGGGGGGGGGGGGAACCGACGCGCGGCCTCCCAGGGCGCCAAGACACGCAGCAGAAGGGGCGGCGCTCGCCCCCCTCCCCCAGGTAAGCGGCCCCCGAGGGAGCCGCGACGGGCGACGGGAAAAGGGGCCGCAGGCGGGGCCGGGGCCGGGGCGCAGGTAGTGCGATGGGGCCGGGGCGCAG